TGAAGAAATGAGTCATCACCTGAATCTGCAGATCCCCTCTGATTTATTGTGAGTTTCAGTTCACTGTTTAGTAGTCCTACTCACAACTTTAGTGTTGTGGCTCATTCTCACTGCTCTCAGAGGTGTTTCTGGCTGCAGCAGGCAACTATTTGCTCTGAGAAGCGACTGCATACTACCTGCTCAGCACCAAACAGCAGACAGACACAGTTAGAGACTAGCTGGTACACTAAGAGGAGCAGCTAGTGTATTAACACTGGTAGAGACCAAAAACTCTAATGCTAACTAAGAGCTGATGTTGCTCTGTAACTGCTGGATATTTAAATAAGTAATTGTTTGCTTACTTGACTGCCATATCGATTTAAACTGTGTTCATTACTTGTTTTCACTGCCCCCAAGTGACCAAAAAATTTTATTGCAGGTGTAAGGCATGTAGTCGTGGCAGTTTTTGAACTTTGCAGTTTAGACCTTTGTTAATCTGCGACTAGCATTGCAAATATCAGCTTAGAAGAATATTAACAATTTATGTTTGGCATGCACACTACTTTCTGCCAACAATTCCACAATGCATTGCATGGTATTTTAGAGATGCGAATATTACAGTTGTGCTACACCTGTCAGAGAGGATATAGAATAATGATAATTTCCAAATGTCCAGAGTCTCAATTTTCTGCTGAATAAACTGCTGTCTCTTCAATATGGAGTAGTGAATGAGTGAATAAAGAAAATAAAGATTTTATGATTTTGAACACAGCCTTGCTGTAGTTGCTGTCTAGATTCATAGCCACCATGGAACATGTCATAAGTTAAAGTAACACAATTAAAATAAATTGAGATGAACTGCAAGTCTTTGATTAAACAAATCAAGCTTAATTGCATCAGTGTTCTCATTTTCAGACCAGTTTAGTCATTTTAGGGACACCTGCTTCTTCCCTTGGTGAGACATTCTGGACAATTCAAACGCTTTATATAATACAGTGACTAGCTTTTACCTTTCACCACCATTTTAGACCCAGTTTCCTAGGAGCTGGCTCTGTGTTTTAGTTTCATTGTGATCAAGGTCTGAAGTCTGACAAACTGAGCAAGAAGCAATTATAGGAACAAAATCTCACTGCAGCAATGTGGTGCTGTTCCCTTTTCACAGCCTGAAGTCCTTCAGGAAGATTTATCACCGGCGGCCTTTGTGAGGATCTCCCAACATGGAATGGAAATTACCAAAAATGTCAGGCTGTTTTTTGAGACCCAGGGTGCATTAAGGACCTACAAGGCATGTTCACTGCAATAATAATCTTGTGGCTGAATTAAAGTTATTTATGTCACCTCAAACAGCCTAATGGTCATGATTCACTTTTATCCAAGACTCTCACAAAAACACAAAAAACTCAACACCCTATATGCGATTTTCTACTAAAAAATAGATTTCTGTGTCTGAAAGAGGTTGTTCTCATTATAATGGACATGTCTTGTTTGAAATGTGGCCTTGTTAGTGGCTTTCAAATGTGTTTCTAGACCATCTAAGTGAGCGTTATCTTTGTTGAAAACTTCAGCAGACAGAGCTAGACAGAGTGCAACCTAAAGCAGAAATCCTGGATCTCCCTGACTGCCTAAAACTCTTACTTTTATGACCTATTCTTCTGCATGAAATATGGATAGAGTGGTGTTGCCACTTTGTTTTTTGAAGCTATATGAGCACTCTTGAATGCCTACTGGAGGACCATACATGATTAAGAGGACCATACATGGTTAAGATCTGCGTTATGATAACGGTAAGGGATATACAGTGAGCAGTGCTTTTCATGTGTAGCCTTGCCCAAAGCTTGCATTCAACTTACACTTGCAATCATATTCTTGCTGCACTGTTAATTAATTGCACCACAGAAGGTTTATGGTCCATGTCCGTAGTATCAGTCATTTCCATGCTTCCCATTAATTGTCTAAGTAAGCAGCCATGCAATGCATTTTGGTAGCGCTGCGGTGCATTTCAAGAGATGGGGCGTCAACGTATTGTCTTACTAATTACCTTGAAGGATAATTAGCAGGCCATTTGCATTTTATCTCCATTCTGAATTGTTCTCAACTGTAAACAGTTTCACCATTTTTTTTTTTTTTTAAATTTTTTTTTTTTTTTTTTTAATTTAAATTTAAAAAAAAAAAAAAAAGTTTTTTTTAAAGGGGGGGGAGAAAAATTTTTTTTTTTTTTTTTTTTTTTTTACAACAGTCTCCAGTGCATTTACTTGATGCAGGCTAATTGCTGAGAAATGTGGTCAGATTCTTCCTGTGCCATGCATCCCTGGACAGATCACTTCTCCGCCTTATCTTTCTCTGCAAATCTCCCTTTATTATCTTGCTTTTGTTTTACTCCACCCCTTCCTCCATTTATCTTGTTTTTCTCCCATTCTTCCTTCCTTCCCAAAGTCTTATCCAAATATCCCACCTCCATTTATTTATTCATCCTCATCCAGCCCTCCTGCTGTTTTTTGCTTCACTCACCCTTTTCTGATACCAGCCTTTCCTCCTACCCTCTAACCATACATATGTCAATTTATGATTGCAGTGTTCCTCACAGTGGGGCCCAGTGCTAAGTGAAAGTAACAGGAAACATTGGGGCTCTTCAGAAGCTTAAAGCTCTTTAGTGAAGGTCATTTATCAGCCTGTCAGACCATCACTCTGATGCAGCACAAACACAATCACTCGCCACAGAGACCACATTTAGACACACGAGTAGTACAGAATTGGTGTGCTGGTAAGGGAGTATGCACAAGTGTGTGTTTGTAAGTATGTGTGTTTGAGATTGTGTGTGTGTGTGTGTGTGTGTGTGTGTGTGTGTGTGTGTGTGTGTGTGTGTGTGTGTGTGTGTGATTGTGTGTGTGTTCTTCAACAGCAGCTCTCTGTGTGCATTCAGATCATCCAGTGACATTGAACAGAGGCCACAAAGCTAAATGGCTCCTTCTACAGTAAGTGGTTTAGAGAGAGACGCACATCAGAGCTTTGTGGGAGCTACCAAGGTTACAGCTGTAGTTTACACATACACACATATGCAAACCTATGGGCACACACACTTTAAAGTTGGCATTAATGTGAATTGCAGAAGAGAAGACATATTAAATTATAGCCTTGGTATTATGTAGCTCTATCCATAATAGACCACCAGTCACTTCATAAGCAAGCTATCAGTACAGTTTTGAATAACCTCTAGTTTTGGACTGATAAACTCAACAACGTAGTGTTTTTAGTAATTTTAATTTGAAAGTGGGACTCTTATTTTGAAGTTGACATTGCAGCTGGAGGCTAGCGAAGAAAAAGACAAGAAAGCGTCACAGTGCTAAAAATGTGTCTTCCGAACGACAAATACTGTATTGGATATTATTTATTGCGTGGCTGAAAAGGGGACAAGGTCTGTGAATGTTTCATTTCTTTTTGTAACTGAATAACTTTTCTTTGCATAGGTTCATTAGGGTTTGAAAATGAGCCTTTGTAAGATAGCAAAACTGCTATTTTAGCTACATAAGCAGGTGTTTTATCTCTCAAATTAGTGATTAGCATTCCTTGCTACCTGGCTCTAGAAGTCAGAAGAAATGCATATTAAAATGATGTAAACAGTGCCTTTGCATGCTTGAACTAATAATGTGAGAGTAAAGACGAAAACTCTCCACTAAAATTTAGCATAATATTTTTTCTCTCTCAAAACATACATACATAGTTTTTTTGAGCTTATTCTCATAAATGTGTCGACATTGTGACATGTCTAGCAGGAAAAGCACAGGTGTTGCTGTTAACTTTAATTAATGATGGCTTCATTACATTGCAATATCCCAGTTAGCTGACCCTGGTAAGCCTAACTGGAGAGCTGGCAGAATTAATATTATTGATTACACCTGTGATTTCCAAGTCAAAATGTTTTATTTTTTGCTCAAAATGCTTCTTATTTTGTAGGAATGCTTAAATCACAGCTTTCTCACTACTCTATTTTATTCTCATAAGTGAAATGGGCCTGCCCCCACCACTTTGTATGTAAATGGTCTTTCTCATCAAATTAGAACAGTTGAATTTATGGTGCGGCAACATGGTTTTCAGGATTTTGTTAACTGAGCTACAATACACTGCATATTATTCAGTGTTAAAGCTTACATATACACAGTTTATAGGGCACATGGATGTCATGATCTACATAATATGTTGATACATGGATCAGAATGACATGTACAGTGCCAACAGAAAGACATATTTTAGACAGCAGCCTTTTTAGTGCACACCCCACATATCTACATTTATCAACATTTGGATGCAGCGAGGGTACACAAATTAGATAAAACTGTCTTCTGCAAGGACTGGGGAAGTGTGTTTGTTACAGGGACATATTGATGGTTATAGATGCAAAATCAGCAGAAAATAAAAATGTTTTTGTCCCTTTGCAGTGTTTAGCATTTGAGAGGTATTAAGTCTTATGTAATTGGTGGAGCCTCCTGCCATGGTCCTGCTAGATTGCCATTGCCAATACTGTTGTTGCTGTGCACCTGTCTGTCTGTCTGTCTGTCTCTCTCTCTCTCTCACCCCAACTGGTCGAGACAGACGACCACCGACCTAGAGCCGAAGGATCTGTCCTAGGTTTCTGCCTTTTAACAGGCAGTTTTTCCTTGCCCTTGTCGCCAAGTGCTTGCTCATGGTGGTACTGTTGGGTCTCTGTAAATAATGTTATAAAGAGTTCGGTCTAGACCTGCTCTATTTGAAAAGTGTCCTGAGATAACTTCTGTTATGAATTGGTGCTATACAAATAAAATTGAATTGAATTGAATTGAATTGAATTGAATGTAATTCTATCCAGTTTGACTAAGGGTGAACTCTAATGATGCATTTCTCCTGAAAGACTCATTGAACTCTATTTAGACTTTCCATATTTTCTTCCATGCCTTCATTTGTTCCTCTGTCACCCACACTCCAGTACCATTTGAAAATGTTGCTGTCTTGGTGAACACTGGAGTCAACTTTTCTCATTCCATCCACAGGTCGTAAGTTCGTCATAGCCAATGCAAGAGTGGAGAACTGCGCCATCATCTTCTGCAACGATGGCTTCTGCCACTTGTGTGGTTACTCACGTGCTGAGATCATGCAGAAGCCATGCACGTGTAACTTCCTGTACGGACCCGACACCAAGCGACTGGCCATCGCCCAGATGGCACAAGCCCTGCTGGGGTCGGAGGAGAGGAAAGTGGAGATCAACCTTTACCGCAAAGATGGTAGGAAACAATTTTTTTGGTGAGAGTGATGTGAGATGTGTTTGTGTGGATGTAGGAGAGGTTGTGTGCAATGGCTGTACATGTTTTCGGAAGAAAAGTGTGTGTAGCTTTATCTAAAAGTTAGAGCTGACTGTGATGTAGTCAGAGACATGTGGTGATGGATTATACCAATAAGGAGGTCAGTGTGAGTATACTTTGTGTTTGGAAGTTTTGGTTGAGTTCTCCAAAAAATATAAAGAAGTCGAGAGAGTATATGTTGCTGTGTTTTTGGAAGGTACTATGAAAGTACTCGTGTGTATTTGGGTCTATGTGAAGGTGTTGTTGAATGGTTTTGTCACTATAAAATGTACTTGTTTCTCAGTTGGCCTCAGTAACAGTTTGTGTAGTGTGTGCAGAACATTTGGCACCTACCATGTTTATGTGTGAGCTGTTATGTGTGAGTGACCTGACTACTGTTTACTGATAAGTCCATGTTGTATTTTGTGTCTCTTGCAACTTTTTAGTGCCAGATTTCTTGTTGTGATGAGCATGGAAGTGCAGAGAATACAGTATGGTACATTTGGTCTGTTTCCAGATTTTATTAGCAGAAGACTAATCTATAACTGTGTTAGATTACAGCCTTTAAATCAGCATCTGCACAGTCATATAAAAGTCATGTTAAAGTTAAAAACATGACAGCAGTTTGGTAACATTTTCATGAATTAGCAGCATTTTTGATTGACCTTACCTGAATTGACTTTTTTACGACAAGACGTACTTATAAGGAAAGTAAATGGGGGAAGCCCTTGGAGAACTGTCTCCAGTGGCAAGAGTATATTTATGTGTGCACACATGCCAACTGGACCAGGTAACAGGACGCTGGTCATTGCAACGATAGAGTGCTTCCATGGTGATAAAGAGCTACCATGGTAATAAAGTCAGCAACTCCCTGGGCTACGGCCAAAGCATCTGCCGGACATTTTCCACCTGTAGACAGACACCAGTGAGAGAGAGAGAGACAGAGACAGAGAGAGAGACAGAGAGAGAGAGAGAGAGAGAGAGAGAGAGAGAGAGAGAGAGAGAGAGAGAGAGAGAGAGAGAGAGAGAGGCTTGAAACAAACTGAGGGGAAAAAGAGGGCAATATGACTAAGAGGGAGAAAAACAGCACAGCTCTGAAAAGTGAGGAAAAAGCAGTGGGTGAGAGGTGGGAGAAACAAAGAATGAGAGAGAGAGAGAAACAGTGACTGTCAGAAAGTGTGTTTCTCACGTAATCTGAAAGCGTTGTTGGTGGTGAGAGAAAGCAAGTAAAAGAGAGAGGGAGAACCAGAGAGGTGGCGCCAGCTGTCTCCTGATACTTTTGAGGAGTGCTTTGCCAATTCAGCCCTCCCCTATGCACTTTTCACTTTCCACTGTTTATATTGGAGATGTGGATGTGCACACACACACCAGCAATCTGCTATACAAAAGTGCCTTGTAAAAGCTACAACTCTGTATATAGAATTACAGAGGCGCTGTCATGTCTGTCCCACTGGCTATGTTAACGAGAGTCCACCATGCTAACAACACATAGTTAAAGGATTTGGAAGCATCATTTAATGCCTGGAAGAGTCCAGTGTGGACCGGTAGCTGTAAAACTGATGTTGGCATACACAGTGCAGTAGCTTGAATATGTCTTCCCATTCCAGACACAAGAGAAATTTCTATCATTCTATCACTTGAAATATTCTTAAGGCATTTCTAGCAGTTTGTAGTTTTAGGAGGGAAGTAATTCATATAATGACCATTGTCAAAGCAACAACTAATGAGATTAAATATCCATAAATTAGAGCTATTGGAGGAAATAAGAGGTCATTGAGGAGTAGATGAGTCTGACACAGCAAAGCAACAGTCCTCAACAGTCCTCCCCAAACAATATCACATGTTCATTTCTCATGCAAGGAAGAATCATAGATTATACCTCCTGGATATACTTCATGTAGCAGTTCAGCTCTGCCCAAAGTGTTTCTCTTTGACTTTGAACTTATCCATGAAGAGTAAACTAAGCAAGCTTGTTTTCCATCAATACAGTTTCAGACATACCCAACAGCTCTCCTGCAGCAGATGATGACTCTTTGAGAATCCCAATGGCAACAAACACTACTCTTTAGATTTCTGCCATCACTTTCTTCCTGTTGCTTCCCATGACAAAGACAGTCAAAGTTTGATTTACTTTCACTGTAGAAAGCTAATGGCATCATTCCTGTTGCTCATCTTTGAGCATCCGCTCTGTTCCTGGAATGTGTTTTGTGGGTTATGGCTGGGATTAGAATCAGTTGCTCTGGTGATCATACTGGGCAGCTTTAATGTAAGAATGTATTGATAAACCTGTGTGAACCTCTGAAAACATACCTCACAGGGTAAAATGTGTAACAGATGATGTTGATGACATGAAGCAAGTAATGTTGATTGGTAGTATTAGTGTTAGTATTTGTTTATACTGAGTTTTATGGTTAGTTTTCTTACAGTAATTGATTGTTAACTGTAATGGAGCTTGAAGCACCATTGTTGTTTTTGTTTACCGCAGTTAAATGTATTTTTCCTGATTTCCAGGTTAGAATTAGGGCTGCATGATTAATCTAATCACATTTTCAATCGCGATGTCACCCTGTGCAATTACATAACTGCAAAAGAATGCGATTTAATTAAATAAAAAGGTGTGACACTCATTATCATTATCCACGCCCCCAAAAGATATGACCAATCAGTCTCTGTTAAGAGAGTAGTGTGTATGCCGTGTATGGTCATGTAAGTAACAGGAGTGTAGACCGGGGGGTGCAGAGCGTGCAGAGAGGTGCACACAGGAGCTCACGTGGAAAATGGAAGATAGCAAGCAGGCTGAAAACACAACCTCTGTCATATGCCAATATTTTGGATTTTATTTTATTAAGTTGTTTTAAAAACAGTATTGTACAATTTTTGAGTTTTTATATATCTTATGTCATATCGAACTATCAAACAGAAGTAAGGCTGCTCAATTAATCGAAATTTGATCATGATTACGATTTTGGGGCCAAACGATCTCAAAACTAATACAATCGGAGGGAAACTATTTTTTTTTTCATTTTCTGTTGTGCAACGTTGTATAGAAAAAAGCTGAGCCCCTGAATTGGGACACAGCCACAGTCTGCGTATTTCGCGCGTGCTTATTTCCGTCCCTCCCCCGCAGCAAGAACTGCACATCATGCGCTCGGTATACTCGCCGTTCCCGACCTGTTGCGCGACAATGTGAAGTCACAGGAGTGCCGTAACTATTTATACTTGCGCCGGTGGTCGCGACACTAGTTGCAGTCTTCTCCTGTCACGTTGTTTTCGTTTGAACAGGTAAGTTTAAAAAAATAATCGTTTGAATAATCGTGATTTCAATTTTGACCCAAATAATCGTGATTATGATTTTTTACATAATCAAACAGCCCTAAACAGAAGGTGATAGAATATTCCAAATCCTGGTATTTTTCTCAACGTTGAGACAAGTAAAGTGATGAGTGTGTGTTAAGTAGAAGAATAATTACGTATGTTCTCTTAGTGCCTTCTAGTCTCACAAATTGACTCCAGACTGCGCACGAAAACCCTACATCTCTACCTGCTGGTAAGGAAGCAATGAGTGCTGAGAGGATTGAAGAGTGTTAAAAGCTGTTATCTACTGTGTCAATGGGCCTGAGCTCAGCTGACTATACATACGAGTATATAAACACACCAACACACACTCCCTTCTATAAATGGGGAGTTGTGTTTGTCATGTTGCCATGGAGTTTGTAGAGAGGCCCTCATCATGTTGTCACAGTAACCAAGGGACACTATTATGACTGGATGGAAAAATTTCTGTTTTGGCACTCCTCCTTCACTGGACATATCTCCTTTCTGTGTAGGACACTCTTTCTAGGTTCCTAAGTGTCCAGTGCATGTAACTAGGCATGTATTGTAACTTGTGAGAAAAAGTAAAGGATTCGGAGCTGTTATTGCAGATCGTGTCTTATCTTGATACCTTCTCGTGCCTACTTGTTTTATATTGGATATCAAAACTTTTCTGTCTTTGTGCTGACCCAAAACTTTCTGTCAGTAGTAAAATCTTTATTGATTTGTACTCAAAAGTAAATTAATAAAGATTACACCTAGGAAGGGTTTGTTATCTATGTGTGCGTGTGGGTATGACCCTGGTGACTCCTATCTCAGTCATAGTCACACACACTCAAGTTCACACAGACACAAGTCTTAGGTATACCCAGCAGGCCACCTTCAAGCCATCAGAGAGCCACTGATCGAACACTGTGGACACGCCTCATCCATAATGCACAAGGAGGAAACACAATGCCACCTCCTCTTGTCCCTCGCTCCTCCTTACTCTTTTGAAGGCACAGAACGAAAAGAAAGAATAGCATTTTCCTTTGATTTTGAAAAGCAATCCAAGCAAGGAGTGTGCAGGCATGTGTGTTTTACTTGGAATAGTGAGACTGTTTAGCCATGACCCACCCACGCATGCTTTCATACAGACAACACACACACATGCGTGAACACAATGCACACACACTCTATGTGCGCACACAGGCTTCATCTGAGCCCATTTATCTAGTGCCAAACTTAGGCATGAGCCTTCACAATGATGGATCTCCCTTCTTGCTCTCACGCTCAATTGTCCGACTCCGATTGCTCACCAGCTTAATCAATCATGCTGTCCAGGTAAACTGCAAAAGGAAACATACACACATACACTAAACATGTAGAGGTTTTGGTAAAGAATGGACTACTGCCCCAGTTGGGTATTGCCTATAAGGCTTTGAATCCCCTTGCTGGCTAAATGTCACAACTATGTTTTATGTTGGCTTTTGGTTTACAGGAACATATGATGGTGACAAGGGAGGGTTTAAAAGGAGAAACAAGAGCATTGGTGTCTTGTTGGACGGAGGAAAAAAAAATTGTAGATAGGGAAAGGCAGTGAATAAACAGTTTTAAGTGTATAGATAGTTCCCTTTTTTCTCTCTTACACT